GGGGGGGGGGCGGGGCGGGGCGGTCGCGGGAAGGGGGAGGCAGGCAGGAAAGTCGCACCAAACTTGCTGGCACCGATGACACCGTAGGCGACACGGCGGCCCTTGACACCGCTGGCGGAGACATCGCTGCAGTCGTCGGCGGCATTGTGGATGACGATGGCGCGGCCGAGGAGAGTGTTGATGCCGGAGCGGAAGATGTTCACGCCGGGCAGGACGAAGGACTCCTTGACGGTACCGGAGTCCGAGGTGCGGACATTGCCGAGGTCACCGGCACGCGAGCGGGCCGGGTCGGTGGAGCGGCAGCCATGCTGGGCATTGCGCACCGGGCTCCACACGTTGCCCAGGTTGTCGACATTGTCCTCCAGGATGGAAGCGAACTCGGTGATGTGCAGGCCGAGGTCACGGTTGCGGGGCAGGCCAGCCAGGTCCATGTGCACGCGCACACCGTCGGCCAGCTGCTCGAAGCGGGTGGTACCGCGCGCGCCGCTGAAGTCGGAGTCGGCGTTGCGTCCGGGGATCGGGTGCCAGACGGCCTTGGCCTCGTTGAGCATGGGCTCGACTGGAGACCGGGAGGGGGTGGGGGCGGGGGAGACACGGAGCAAACGAACGGCCGAGTAAGAGGCAAGGAGGAATTGGGCAGATGAGTGCGCGCGCCGGCAGGGAAGCAAGGGGCGACACGTTAGCATGGGCAAAGCACGCCGGCGGCCGGCCAAAGTGTGCGGACAAATGGCAGTGTGCGCGTGCGCGCGCGCGAGCACAAACGCACCATGACGCTCAAGGTCCAGGTTGTAGACCTCGGAGCCCGGGGCGTATCCGATGACACCCTGCGAGAGGACGGCACCGAGCTGGATGGCGTCCGGGCACTTGTCCAGCGGCTGGGAGTAGTTGTGCACGGCGATACCACGGCCCAGGATCAGGCCGTTGTTGTTGATGTTCAGGGAGATGGCATTGTGGCTGAGGGTGGCCTTGGCCCGGCCATCGGCGCCGATCTGGACATTGCCCAGGACACCACCGAAGGTGCCCTCCTCGCAGTTGGCCACCAGACCCTCAGGGTTGAAGACGCCGGCCATGCTGGAGCCATTGGAGTTGCTGATGTCGCCCAGCTCGTGGATGCGCATGGCGCGCAGGCTGTTGGCCTGGCGCTGCATGCCGGCCAGGGAGACCACCGCGCGGACAACCTTGTTGGAGTCCTCGTGGAAGGCCACCCACCCATGGCAGTCCGGGCAGTTGCTGGTGCCGAGCATGCGCGAGCTGGCAATCAGCTTGTAGGCTATGGTAGGTGATGGCGGCCGGGGGCGGAGCGGGGAAAAGGGGTCAGCGTCAGGGACAGGGGCGTGTGGCTGCGCGAGCAGCGGCGAGGGGGGGGGGGCGGGGGGCGGGGACAGGCAAGCGGAAGGGGGGTGGAGGAAAGAAGGGACACGGGCAAAGGTGCCGGGCAGGCGCGTACCCTGGGACGAGCCAAGCAGGCAGGCGAAGACGGCGATGGCGAAGGTCTTGGAGATGGTCATCTTGGCAGATTAAAAGGAAGAAAAGGGGCGAGAGGGGGGGGGGGAGTCAATGGCAGGGGATATCGAATCAGGCTAGCTGGTGATATCAGGATACTGCTGCTTGATGATTCTCTTCCACTGGGAGGGCTGTCGGCTGGGTGCTTTAAATAGGCCGGGGGGTCGGGGGCACAGGTCAGCCGGCCGGCCGGCGTGGCGAGGGGGGAGGCCAGGGGGGAGGCGAGGCGAGGCGAGGCGGCGAACGGCGGGCGGGGGACAAGGTGGTGGTGGTGTGCCCGGCAGCCATGGCCGGGACAGACGCCGGCGGGGGCAGGGCACAGTCTGCAGGGCTGAATGGGGCGGGGCAGCCGCAAACGGAAGGTCACCAGACACAAGAGAGTAGCAAGCGGGGAATGAGGCGAGATCTTCGGGCGCCGGGAGGCCGACACTGGCCTGTGCCTGGCTTCTCCTTCCCCTCCCCCCCCCCCCCCCCTCGCATACACATACTGACTCGCAATTCGCCTGTCCGCCTGCCCGAAAGCCGGAGCTCCCGATCCTGCCAGGGGCCGAAGGACACGGCTGACCCACCCGCAGGGAGACCGGGCGGCGTCGGGTTTCCCCAGGTCTCGGGCCCCAGGTCAATTGACCGATTTTGGGCGCGGTGGAATGGTGCACCTGGCTGGCCGCCTGCCTGCCGGCCATGAGATTTCCGCCCACACCCACACAACGTAAGGACAACCCGGAAGAGGGAACTTCCTGGCGCCTCGGTACATGGCCATACGCTTGACAAGCGGGGCAGCGCCCTGCATCTTTGCGTTCTTCGGTGGCAATGTTTACATTTTTAAAATGTACTGGCCAATGTGCGGTGCCCCCCCTGCCTGTTCCAGAGCCACGCCACTGCCCACTGCCCAGCGTGGAGAGACTTCTCCCCGGGGTCCCGGGCCCGGAGAGCTCCACGCATTGGGGCCCTTGGTATCGCGCAAAGTGTGCCCGCTGGTCTCAATCCACCACAGATCACCCCCGTATATGCATCTGGCAGCGGGATTCCTCGCGACAAGTGTCTGGCCCTGTTTGCAGTGCCGGGGCTCGGATCACTCACCTCCATTACCCTCCCTCCCACTTTACATTGCCCCCCCCCCCCCCAGGAGAGTAATGTGTGGGGGGGAGGGGAATATTTTATTGGGATACCATCTTCGCTCTATTGCAGCCAGATCAGGCAGAAAATAGAGGGCGAGAAAGAAAGAGATAGAGAGAGGGGGGGGGGAGGGGGGAACAGGGAACAGACATCCACGCAGGGATGGCGCGCCATCTCGGAAGATCGGCGTCCCGCGCCAATATCCCGGGGAAAGGGGCGTGCTACAAGGCCCGATCAGCTCGGCGCTCCCGGGGCAACCACCATGTAGAGGAGAGGGCCGGAACAGGCTGCGCCCAGCAGGCCGCATTGTGGCACGCTGGAACTCGCATTCCTCGGTGTAGCCCACAACCGGCCCCATGGCCCCCATCGCTGGCCGCGCTGAACCATGAGACATTGATCCCCTCCATACCCCACGGCGCCCCCTCGCCCCCGCGCCCCACCGGCACACACACACACACGCCCCGGGCAAGGGATCTCCCTCCCACCCGGGGCCGGGTCTCCCACCCGTGTGAACAGTTGGGAGGTGGAATCGGGGTATTATCTCTGCGGCGGGCTCGTGTGCTCCCCCCCCCCCCCGCCCCCGCCCCACGCCGGGGGCGCAACATGCCCGCCGCCAGGGCGCGGGACCGGGACACAAAGCAGGGTGGCATCATGTGGATGGGGGAGATATACGCTCGGCGGGTGGCCTTATGATCGTCAAATTGAACAGCACAACGATGAGCTGAGGCACAGAGTATATTGTGGCACAGAGATGAGGGGGACACACGGGCAACATTTCCATCGGACAAGGGCCGCATTGTGCCCCGCATGCTCCCGTCTCTCTGTGGAGGAGGGCCGGGAGGCGAGGGGGGAGGCCTGTGACAGAATAGAGGCCACTTGCGCGGGAGTCAACAGGACAGGGACATTAAGAGGCGCCCTGCCCGGTTCTCGACCACGCTCAAGAGAAGGGGCGGCAAAGGAGAAATGCATAGATGGGGGGGGGGGAGGGCGAAGGGGGAGCTCAGGCTGTCGATGAAAGGATGATAGAGTGCCGACAGCCGGGGAGGGGGGAGGGCGGGGGAGGGGAAAAGGCCATCACGTCCTCCCAGTGAGGAAGGAGAGAAGCGTGGCAGACAAGAAGAGAAAGAGAGGGGGAGGGGGGGCAGAGGCGGATGCTCATACATACACACACGCATACATGTGTGTGTGTGTGTGTGTGTGTGCAACAGCAGCCCGACCGCGCGCGCGAGCACGCCCCCTCCGCCTCCCTCCACCCTGGCCCCCGCGCGCACACAAGAGGGGGGGATGGAAGAACATGCGGGCACACGCATTCATGCCTTAGACGGAGCGCGTGCGCTTGGTCGCGGGAGGGGCCACTTCGCCAGCAGAGGCCGCTCCAGTCGCGACGCCCGCGACCGGGACACCCTCCGAGCCGGGAGAGCCGGACGCAGCCGGGGCCGGCTCGGCCGAAGAGGTGGCCGAGTCGCCAGACGCCGAAGGCTTCGGCGGCGGGGTCACCGCCGGGGCAGTGGCGCCAGCAGCCGGAGTCTCAGCCGCCGGGGTCGCCGAGGGGGCACCAGCAGCAGCAGCAGCACCAACCCCGGTCGCCGAGTCGGTGGCCTCCTCGAGGGAGCGCTTGTTGAAGTTACGCGGGGCGGCGTCCCAGGCACGACCGGCCTCGGTCTCGTCGAAGGGCTCCATGCCGGCGAAGGCGCGCTCGCTTTGCAGGGTCTGCGCCCGGTAGACCACGCGGATCTGCGGGACATTGGTGCAGGCCATGTCATTGCCGCGATGGTCCGGCAGCCAGTACTCGCGGCCAATCCAGTGCATTTTGAGGCACCGCTCGAAGCCGGACTGCAGGACACTGTTGCGGGCCAGCTCGCACAGGTCGGCCGTAGACAGGCGCAAAATTTGCGCAGCCACGGCGTACTCCTCGATCAGCGGCTCACGCGTGAAGTGGAACTGCAGCGGGTCATCCGTGGACAGGGAAATGTTCAGCCCGCGCCGGAAGAACGGCATGATGGGGTTCCGGTCGTAGGAAAGGAACAGCGAGTTGTTCGACAGCGGCGACAGGTGGATGCCGATCTGATTGAGGTAATAGCTGAGGCGCATCGGCGGG